CATCCTCCAGTTGCCTGCACGTCGAAGCTCCACGGTAAAATGGCTGCAACAACAGCGGTGTGGACGACAGACTACAGGGGAGGCGGAGGCTACTGGGGACGGAGCGGGGAGGCGGGCTCAAGTAAACCCGCTGAGGGGTGGGGGTGGGTAAAAAAAATCCTTCATCAAGACAAACACACATTCAACAAAATGTAAATACAGCTATCCGTGAAAAATTAAACAATTTTTATGGTCAAATATTTTACCCAGATATAAAAAATAATGTTGATATATGACGTCACAGCCGGGAGATGCTTGTTAAAATCCTAGTAACGCTTTACAATAATTGTCCCTTTATTAATGTTACTTAGTGCATTATTAAGCATTAACAAAGTAATAAATCAAGTATTAACAACTGCTAAACCGTATGTAATGCACTAAGCAGATACGATATAAATAGACACCCCCAACCCTTTCCCTGGCCTTTTGTCCTAACATGAATAGAATAGAATAGAATAGAATTTATTGATCCCACAGTGGGGAAATTCACTTGTTACAGCAGCACCAACATTTAGAATTATTTGAAGAAAAATAATAACAAAGGTACATGTATATACACCTTGGCAGTAAGCTATTAAGCTGTTAAGGACACTTAATGATTAACAATATTGGTACCAATAATAAATGGATACTTTGTTTAGTAATGCTTCATGATGCACTAAGTAACGTTAATAAAGGAACCCTTATTGTAAAGTGTTACTAACATTTTTGTGTTTGTGCCTAACAAGTATAGTAGCCTTTATTCTGGACTCTTAGTCCAATTCACAAGAAGTATAGAGACGTTGTACAGATAAAATATAGATGCTAAAATATAAGACAGAAAAATCATGACAACAAGCGCTGAATAACGCCGGGGACACACCGGCCGCGGAAGCGCGGCGAAGCGCCGAGAAGCAAATCGCTCACGAAATTCGGCCGCTGCTCGCCGCTCCTCAGTTCAGATCAGACGCGCCCCAGTCGAGGCGCGCCTCGGCTCAGCTGTAGTTTTTCTTTTAAACACTTGGTGTCCTCCATTTCCTCTCTGCCTTTTCTCAGCTCTTTTCCTCTACGTTTGAGTGTGTGTGTGTGTGTGTGTGTGTGTGTGTGTGTGTGTGTGTGTGTGTGTGTGTGTGTGTGTGTGTGTGTGTGTGTGTGTGAACCTATGGTATGAGTTGTTTCTGCCAGTTGAATCTCTTGGAACCCGCTCCAATTCTGCAGCTGTATCCTAGCAGTTTCTTCCGAGATGGGTACGTAAATAACCATGTTTTTCGGGGGTCGTACAGCTCCTTGTGTTTCTCAACTTCCATAATTAATTTAAAGTCATCCATCTTAACTGCTTGCCTCAGACTTTCTGCCTCTCTGTCCTGTTTGCTCCGGTGAAAAGACACCCAAAACCACACACCCCTTCACGTGGTCACACACGCACACAAGTTCGATGTGTGTGTATGTGTGTGTGTGTTCGTGTGGTTTTTCTGCAGTGTCTGATTACGAACACATTTGACTATTGCGGAATTTTATTTTGAAATGCTTTATTTTGTTAACTTTACCGGCCTGCCTCTTATGTCTAGGTTTGACTTCCTGCCAGAATTGACGCGATTCACCCGCGGCTTGCGAAAAAAATAGAGACGGAGCCGAAATGATCGCTGCACTGCGCGGGCTGGAGTGCCGGCGCGCGCCGGCGCGAGGCGATTCACAGCGCGAGGTGGCCCATGTGGTCTATAGAATAGCTTAACAAGGGCGCCGGATGAAGGCGGTGCCATTTTCGCGGCGCTTCCGCGGCTAGTGTGTCCCCGGCGTAAGCTTGTTTTAAGGCAGAAGTCATCTGGCACTCCACTTGACGTTCTGCTGCCTCGCCTCTGGAAGGCTGCCTTTCCTTGTGTGGCAGTGTGAGTGTCCTGTCACAGTGTCCCGATAGATCATGCGCCCTGGCTACTTGGCCAAGGGGATGTCCCTTTGGCTGACTGGTTAGAGCGTATGACTCTCACCCGGGAGTCTGGGGATCGAATCCTGCCCGGGCCCTCGTTTCTCCACCCTGCCACATTTGGCGTTGTCGGCAGGATCCATGTAGTACTGTCAAGTAGGCCCATGGATGTGAAGTTTGTGGCACCCTGCGCGGGAGCACGAGGACGTGCTTGTGGAAAGAGGGGGGAAGATGTGGCAGTGTGAGTGTCCTGTCACAGTGTCCCGATAGATCATGCGCCCTGGCTACTTGGCCAAGGGGATGTCCCTTTGGCTGACTGGTTAGAGCGTATGACTCTCACCCAGGAGTCTGGGGATCGAATCCCGCCCGGGCCCTCGTTTCTCCACCCTGCCACACTTGTCTTGGCCCATCACTTGGTCAGATTATCAATGGGAGCCTCAGCACAGGTGTGGTCCCAGCTGCTTTGAAAGCAGCAGTTATTCGGCCAACCCTGAAGAAACCTTGTGCTGATGTCTCGGTGATAGATAATTACAGGCCTATCTCTACCCTGCCTATTACATCAAAACTGCTTGAGAAGGTCGTTTATTAGCAGCTGGTCCCACATTTGGCTGACTCTGATCTGTTTGAGGTTTTCCAATCAGGGTTCAGGTCTGGACATAGCACAGAGTCGGCTCTACTGAGGGTCCTAAATGACATCTATCTATCACTAGATCAGGGTACATTTGTGGTGCTTCTGTTGTTAGACCTGACGGCAGCCTTCGACACAGCTGACCACACGGTTCTACTGGATCGCTTGGAACGATGGGTTGGGATGAAAGGGTCTGCTCTGGATTGATTTAGATAGTATCTCCACAACAGGACATTCTGCGTTAAACTGGGTGATGTTTTTTCTTCTTGGGAGGAGCTCCGCTGGGGGGTCCCGCAGGGATCGATCCTTGGTCCTCTTTTGTTTGCCATTTATCTGCTTCCTCTGGGGTCAATCTTTCGTAAACATGGCCTATCATTCCATCTCTATGCTGACGATTGCCAGATTTACTCTCCATTGTGTCAGGAGAAAGGTCACTCTATCCAGTACTTTGTGTCCTGCATTAACGAGGTGAAGTCTTGGCTAATGGCCAACGTTCTGCATCTGAATGAGGGAAAGACAGAGCTCATTGTTTTTCACCCCAACAGCAGGAATGTGGATCGTCATGTTGATCTTGGCCCTCTTTATCCCTACTCAAAACCAGTTGTCACCAGCTTGGGGGTGAAAATTGATGCTGGACTTAAATTTGATGCACACATCAACTCTGTGATCCGGTCCAGTTTCTTTCACCTGAGACGCCTTGCTAAAATCAAGCCTATGCTGTCATGAGCCCACCTGGAGCGGGTACTGCATGCATTTGTAATTTCTAGGCTTGATTACTGCAACTCTCTATAGACCCTTTTATGGTTTGTAAACAATATGACGTCAGCGAGAATGCGTGCGCAGCTTGCCAACAGAGAATGGTGTTGTTTCAGGCTTTATCAAGCTACGCTGCGGGGTTATCACCGGCAAATCTTGAATGTTATATTATTAAACTCACTTTAACGAATGGCAACAGACTCCCGGATCCCTGTGGCATAACGGAATGGGTGGAAGATGTAGGTGCGTGGCCAGATATCCAGTGGCCCGATATATATACGTTTTTGGTGGAGAGGCCCAGTAAGTACACACGTGAGAAGCTACGGGCATACAAATCGTTAGATGCATACAACTATGTTGTCTGTGGCCACGTACAGAAAGTAAAATATCACGACATAGAGTCTGAGTTTTGCGTCTTGAAGGCAGAAGTCCTTCCTAGCCAAAGACAAGGACACAAGACTGCTATGTACAAGGCTTGGGTCATAGTAAACAAACCAGAGAACTACGTCTTCACAGCCAATTGTACCTGCATGGCAGGGTGAGTATAGCATAGGTTACTTTTTTTAGCGTGCTCAGAGTACAATCGTGTTAATTTTAGAGAAATACAGTTTATACTAATATGCAGTGGGAAAATACAGATGAATTAGAATGAAATGTTAATTTGAAGCATGAAATAAAGCATATAAATTTGTTTAATTCTGTCATTTTGATGTTCCAGACTTGGGTCATGCTGCAGCCACGCAGCAGCAATTTTATTCAAAGTTGAGCTTTGTGTTAGGATGGGAAAAACAGAAAAAGGCTGCAGTTACATCTCAGGCATGTGCATGGAAAGACCCTTCAGAATTCTGTAAAGTTTCAGTCCACTGCTTGAAGAGAAGCGATTCTGGCATCCATACACGCAACAACCCGACATTTTTATGTGCTCAGAACTTCAAAACAAAGGGTTTAAAACGCTGTTTTAGTATCGAGTGTGAATGAGGAAGCCTTCACTCTCGTTGCCAGACTGCGCGCGCAACTTTTGATGACGTAGGTAGTAAAAGGGTCTATGCAGGTTTGTGTCAGTCATCACTGCGTCGCCTACAGGTTGTGCAGAACAGCGCAGCCAGGTTCCTGACTAGGACCAGGAAACGGGACCACATCAGTCCGGTTCTGGCCTCCCTGCACTGACTTCCGGTTTGCTATTGTGGCAATACGGGAGTGGTCTATGACCTGTTGACGCCAAGGATGGCAATTGTACCTGCTCGAGTGTAATTTCGTTAACAACGCCACCTTGGGAATTTCACCCAAGGAATTAAAGCATGTAGATTAATTTCACTTGACAGTAGACGTGGTTTCAGAAGTTACAATAAATTTATTTTATTTTATAGAAGAAACAGTTTAAAAGACATTTTAAAAACTGGCCATGTAAAATACCATAAAAAAAATACTAAAATTAATGCCCCAAAAGAAACTGAACTAATGAAATGTATTGAGAAAAAAAAAAGAAATTAATTTAACTCACTGAAATTAATTCATGAAGTCCCAAAAAAATGAGAGTTAACTAAACACAGTTCAACTACAAATTTAAATAAACAAAAAGGTTAACAAGCAGGACTGAGGCTAGTGATGGAGGCAGGTAACGCGGGGCAGAGAAGCCCCAACACAACAAAAATAATAAAGAACGTATAAAAGATTCACCCCTGGCAGTGAACATTCATACCAACGTGAGAAAACCAGCACCACCACACGCACACGGGACCACCACCTCCGAGGCCACACCCCACACCTCCTGCCTCAGCCTGCACAAAGAAAAAAAAAAAGAGATTAAAAACGGTATAAAATTTGTACAATATGAATCAGCTGTTCTTCCTCCTGGACTCCGGCCACAGCCAGGGAACTTCCTTCAAACAGCTGATTTAAAATGTAGAAAAAGGAAACAAAACAAAACAGCGGCGCCTCCCGCTGGACCACGGAGAAATCTAGAAGGACAAGGAAGAGGTAGAAATTAACAAACTAACAACTGACCAAGTGTGGAGACGGCGCAGCACACACCTACCGGTCCTCCCACTGATGACCCCTGAGTAGAAGGGAACTCCCTGCCCAGCAGCAATGGGGATTCAATCTTTCCCTGGTTTTACAAAGAGCTGATGTTAAGATTGTTTGACTCATAGGTTATCTACCTGCAGAAGGTATGTACCGTTTACTAATGTTTTGTATATCAAAGGCAAGCGATGATGTCACACCCAACACTGATTAATTGCCCAAGCTGCAGAGTGCACAACACAGTCTGAGACACAGTAACTCTACTGCTAAACAGAATAGCCATCCAGGTACATACCACAGTTGGAGCAGAGCCGATCACCCCAAAAATGCAGCCAAAGGACACGGGCTGGTAACACGTAGTGGTATACTTAAAACCAGCTGTTTCCTGAAATTACTTCCTTGCCGGAGGAGCTCCCCTTTTATAGCCGGAGCGCCCTCCTATGTATGGAGGGCGTACTGTTCTAAACCAATAAACTTGGAGCAGGTATTTCGTACTGCTACACTATCGTTCACACTTCAAACTCCTCGTCTTTGTTTTTAATTTCTTCCAGGGTGGTGCTCCCCCCTATCTGGCCACTCTCCTGGACAGACATTCCCCATCACGCGCTCTGCACTCCTCTGACCAAGGCCTACTCGCTGTCCCTCGTTCTAGGTGTCGTACTCGCGGGGACCGAGCTTTCTCTGTCCTAGCACCGTCACTCTGGAACCAGTTGCCACCCTCAGTTAGGCTGTCCCCATCTCTGCCGGTCTTCAAGAGTCGCCTAAAAACCCACCTCCTCTGCTTGGCGTTTCCTGAACGTGTTTGAATTTGGCCCTCTTTTATGTTGATTTTATTTAATAGTTTTCAATGGTTCACTCTATCCCTTGCTTTACACATTTGTCCTGCACTAGAATGTTTCACCTTTTTTGTAATTTGTAATCTGTATTTTGAATTGCTTTTATTTTCTGATTTATTCACTATATTTAACTTTCTGTACCATGTTCAGCGCCTTGGGCTTCCTGACAGGGTTGCGGAAGGCGCTTTATAAATAAAGCATTGATTGATTGATTGATTGAACAAAAACCTAGAGACAACATGTTGTGTTCTGAACACTAGGTGGCAGCAGAGTGCTACATGTCGATATAGAGGTGTAGACAAAGAGCTGGAGTTCGGTAGCATAGTGAACTAGACCAAATTCTTGCTTTGCAAAGAATGGTCTAGGCATGCTCCATTGGAACCTCAGCAGCTCCTACCAGGACTCTGGCTAGCCAATCACAGCTCTCTAGAGGGGTTTCAAACACACAAAGAGCTGTGATTGGTCCATAATGGTGGGCCAGTCATAGTGCTCTATCTGCTTAGTGAACAAATCACAGAGCTTTATCCGCTTTGTGGGCCAATCAGGGCACTCTATATGCCTGGTGGGTGGGATGATGCAACAGAGTGAAACAAGAGTATGTCACATTCATTGTCCAGTGGAATGCGGAGATCATTTGAAAGACAACAGTAGAACCCGCCCCACAACCAAGAGCCGTCAATGGAGCATGGCCAGACTAAATTATTTAGTCTGGCTTGCCAGGCTAGGAGTTCGGCTCAAGCCCCCATAATTCTGCAGCAAATATGAAGCCAAAAAGGAAGTGGCAAAAATTGCAGTTCCACCCTCATCCACTAAGGTCTGGCAGCAGAAGAGAGCAAATTCTCATTGACTCCTATGTTTAAAATGCCCATTTCACAGCAGAAATAAGTATGTTTACAGCCTGTTAAAAAATTATTAGATATAGTTTACATTAATGACAACTCTGAGGGGGTGGTGGATTTTTTTGTAACTCTTCTGTTCAAGTGAGATTTAATGCTTAAAAATCTGAATAATTAATTATATCCACGGCGTCACGTTAATAGATATTTGGCCGTTTCGACTAGGGCTGGGCGATATGACGATTTTAGACCGTTTTACGATCTACACATCTGATGGTCTGTCATTTTTGAGAGACCGTTTTATCACGATTCACAGCTCTGCTGTTGAATTTCTGCCTCTGAATGAAAAGGGAACTTACCCCAGGCGAATGACACGCCTTTGTTTGACCCTTAACCAATCAGAGTGAGTCATAGTAATATATTAGTGCCCCGCTTGTTTTCACCTTCACCTGTGTGTGAACAAACATGGCTTCGCCGCGGCTGAGCGACAACGAGGTTTTCGTTCCGAAGAGGAACGCAGGGTTTCCTTAGCGCGCAGCGCTAACAACTTAGTGACGTGACATGTCTCGGAGAAAGCGTAAAAACACGTTGGACGCTTCTTCTGAAGCAGGAAAATAACACCGATTCTTAAGCAGAGCACGACGCCGCCTCGGCTCGTCCACCCTCTGCCGAGCCGGTGTCGGTACCGGACTGAGCTCGGTCACTGGGTCGATGGAGCTGCCCCGTGACTGCCTGATGGAAAACCAGCGGGTTTCATCAGACTCGTAAAGTTTCTTGTTTTTGTTAGGGACCGCTCCCTCCTGCAGTCTTCCCCTATTACAATTTAAAATGATTCTGTAAACTCCGTGTATCAATAGAAACAATCTCTGCCTCTGCCAGCTGCAGTAAATGTAGTCTCCAAATAATAAGAGGTGCATTCATCTGTGGATCTCCTTTGATCCACATTAGTGATATTCTCAGCACCAGAACAGTGAAGCAAAGAAAGATTTCTGAGTTTGTTAGTAATTTTATTTATTAGGTGCATCTAACCTGTTCTATTTTTCTCTGAAATTAGATCAAATCAGTGCTTCTATGGGTTGTCTCCAATCTGCACTAGAAAATTTTACTTTATTTAGAGACTTGTTGCAGAAAATATTCAGAATGCGCAGTTATTTGCTACCACAAGCGATCTCTGGTCCAGCCGCACGTCAGAGCCATATTTGAGCTTAACTATCCACTACATGAGCAACTGGGAGCTACATAGTATTTTGAACAAGTTAATGTTTGCACAATACGTTTGCAATTGACATGTTTGCACTTTAAATACGTTTACGATTTTAATTAATGTTAAGTTACTTGAAAAACTAGAAAAACTGATTTTTGTAATTGTTTCTCTCAGGGCTTTTATCATCTCTGGTGTGAGTTTAAAATATAAGTGTGCTAGCACTGTGCTGATTATCCCTAATATGAATAAATGTTTATTTATTCAATGTTTCTCTTCTTTAATACGCAATTGAAGTTATGCTATTCATGGATAAAAAAATCGTGATAAAATCGAAATCGTGATAAAATATTGGAAAAATCGTGATATTCTATTTTTGCCATATCGCCCAGCCCTAGTTTCGACTCTCTGAACTTTAGTTTTCTCTGTGTGTTTGTGTTCATGTTTGGATGCTAATCATGGAATGAGTTGGACAAAAGGGCAAGCTGTGGTTACTAACAGACCATCCAAGCAGTTTCTGCTTCTTTATATCAGTAAGTAAAAATGATATTTCTGTACTTTATTTTGTTGGTTGAATGGGGAAATGCTGTGTCATTTAACTGCTTGGTCAAACATGTTAGTGGGACCGCATAAGAACATTGAGCGAGTGCCTAGCTTCTCCTGTCTCATGCCAGAGAACAGCAGGCGGCTACCTCTTCACTTTTCCCCTGGGCAGCCGGACCAGCTTCGAAGCAAGGCTGTAGTCATGCTGGATCTGTGAGGGCAACCACAGAAACACTGCAGCTCTTTTTATTAACGCTGCTTCACTTTTGAGACGCTCAACCACGTTTTTCTAGCTGAAAACACCCGGAAAAACTGTTAGCTTCAGGTTAGTATGTAGCTAATGTCCCGCTGATCTCCGGCTCCCAGAGAAGGGAACATCAACAATGGCGGACACGTGACTTTTTCACCGCAGTTGACCAACAAAGCCTGATATCCTCACTTAGTAATGATTTTGTTACTAAGCAGGCTGAAGGTGCCTTTACTTTGGAGTAGCTCTACCGCGTTTTTCTGTCTGAAAACAGCCAGAAAAACTCCATTAGCTTTGGGTGAGCATGTATAGCGTCCTGCTTATCTCCAACCGTGGAGCAAGAGTTGATGCAAAAGGCTATGGCGCCCGGTTACGATCTCAGTCCATATTAGGTCTCCACAGGCAATAAGCATGACTACAGCCTCACACAGGAGTCAGTCTGCTGTGTGGGTGGTATACCACGGCCCAAGGAGCCCTTCTTAGCTTCTTGGTTTAGCCAAGTTAGCTAGTAGCAATACTGGTTAATTTGTTAAAACCCTGTTCCAAACGTACCAGCCTCACCCTTAGCTCCACCTCTTTTCCCATTTTTGGATTGTCTGGGCGTGACGGTACCTGTGACATGGTCAAAATGGTGGTGCTGGGAACCTCCCATTTGGGCACAAAATCTTATAATTCGAGCCTATGGACACAAATTGTCCAGTATGTATATGTTGATGGTTTTGCTACAGAGAAGCTCAGATGGATGCCATGCAGGTTATTCCTTCTTCCTTTAAAGAGATCCTTCACTCATACTTTTTTAACTTAAGCTAGAGCTTTAACATTGATTCTCAGATGAATGTGTAGAAATAAATAAATAAAATGTATGAAAGTGCACAAAAAGTCTCACTCAATACTATTATGAGTCCTCCTAGTTACACTTCATTAATATTTGAATACTTGATACGGTTTTAATTTTAAGTTCCTCTCCAATGATTTCATATAATTTTGTTTAATAATTGTGGTATTATTGTTATTTTAACCTATTTTATTTCTTTCTTTAGTTGTGTATCTAGATATAATCAATCGGTCCTTAGTAAATGGATATGTACTGCAGGATTTTAAGGTTGCTGTAATCAAACCTCTACTTAAGAAACCTTCTCTGGATCCAGATGATCCAATAGGGAGTCTAAGTCACTTTTGCATCATGGGTCCCCGGAAGAACAAAAAAATGAATGCAAGTCAATGGGGCTTAAAATGTTATTTTCTAATTCCGCTTGTTTTGTGCCATGGATTTCACATATGATGTCCGTGAATTTTATAGACATAATCTGATACCAAGAACGCGCTTATTTTCGAACTTGGGGAAACGCAATTTTAGGTTTTGTGTGAAAATAAGTCCAGGACTACAAATGCTCTTCACAAAAATGACGTCATCGAACCAGAAACGAAGAAAACTGAGGTAAAAGGGCTGTAAGTTCAGCAAACTTCCCACTGGAGGAAATAACCGCCATATATCTGGGGCCTCATTTATCAAGCTTGCTCACGTACAAAACGGGGTCTGAAAACTGCGTAAGCAACTTTCCACGCAAGCTTTGGGATTTATTAAAGAAAACTTAGCGGAAAAATGTCCGCAACTTTAAGTTGACTAAGGACCTGGCTTACGCACATGTTGGACACGGAGAGCACCTGCAGTGCTGCTGCTGAGAAGGATAAAATTATGAAATCCTGCAGTATTATCACTTGTACTG